CCAACCGGGGCCCCCAAGCGGGCCCCCGACCGGGCCCCCAACCGGGGCCTTCAACCGGGGCCCCCAACCGGGATCCCCAACCGGGGCCACCAACTGGAGCCCTCAACCGGGGCCCCAAGCGGGGTTCCCAACCGGGGCTCCCAAGCGGGGTTCCCAACCGGGGCCCCCTAGCGGGCCCCCAACCGGGGCCTTCAACCGGGGCCTTCAACCGGGGCCCCCAACCGGGGCCCCCAACCGGGACCACCAACCGGGGCCCCCAACTGGGGCCCCCAACCGGGGCCCCCTAGCGGGCCCCCAACCGGGGCCTTCAACCGGGGCCCCCAACCGGGGCCCCCAACCGGGGCCCCCAACCGGAGCCCTCAACCGGGGCCCCAAGTGGGGTTCCCAACTGGGGCCCCCAATCGGCCCCCTAACCTGCCCCCAGCAGGCCCCCAACAGGCCCCCACAACCAACGCCCTAACTCACCCACATATGCTCTTTTATTATAAATTTATCATAATTGTCAGTTTTAATTGTTAATTGTTAATCAAAAACATTGAAAAGATTGAAAATTGATTAATTGTTAATTGTAGATATTTGCGATTAACGATTGATCAATTGTTAGTTGCGAGAACCGCAATTAACAATTGATTAATTGTTAATTGCGGTTCTCGCAACTAACAATTGATCAATCGTTAATTGCTGTTTCGCAATTGACAATTAATCAATTGTCAATCTTTAATTGCCAGAACAATTAAATTTTGCCCAACACTGCTTGAAACGCACATACATAAAAACATTTTAAGGCAGTTGCACGGGACGATTTAATCTATTCTTATCCAAAGCCCCGACGCCTTCAGACAAAACGGCACGACAGGGAATTTTTGAGTCACAAATATACCTTAATGTTATGACGTTATAGTTAAAATTTCAATTACAATGATCATAGCTACTAAAATAAAGGTGCGGCAAGCTTAGGAATACCGAAGCGGCAGCCTCCAGAATGACTCGGCGGCCAATGAATGCTTCGGCACGCTTCCGAAGATTCTCTTCTGCAAGATTACCATTTCTAAATATACAACTGGTAATAAACCAGCTTCCAACGCTACGACAGATCTGAACAGGATTTAATCCCGTTTTCCGCCCTAAACAATTACTGTGAATAAGTGATAGTAATAAATGGAAGATCCTCGAACATTTATCAAAAAGCTTGTCACTAGACATTGATTCGTTTGTTTGTGAGCTCCTTACGTTATAGCTTACATACTGATTTGTCAGGTACAGATTCAAAAGACAGTTTTCTGGTTACCTATCAGTAGGCCGAAATGACATTTGACAAACGACATTTTCCAGAAATAACGTTTGGTTTAAATTTCATAACCTCGAAAGTAATTTTGAGAGGAAAATGATTTTTCTTTTAAACCTAACTTAACCTAACCTATCCGTACCTAATCGTGTCTTTGCGATAAACATTTCACATATTCTGAAAGAACAACTGTTTCGTTACAATTCGGTTTTCGGTGTAGTGAAAATTCGAACAAACTTGATTTGGGACAAAAAAAATTTCGAGTTTGTGATAGGTTACCAGTTTTCCTTATGATGTCTTCTAGATCTTCTCTAGATGGTCATGAACGGAATTTAATGTAATAGATTCTCTTTTCAATGTCAAAATATTTATGTCTATCACACGATGGCAACAATCATAAATCCTGTTAGAATTATACCAGACAACTTAAATTGCTAAATGAATTACTGTATCTTTGTATCATGTTTCAGATTCGTCAACGTTGTCCAGACATTCGGCCGCCGTCGTGGACCCAACTCCAACTCGTAGGTTCTAAAAATTGTATATAAAATGCAAATATAACATCTTCATTGCACCAAAATATTTGTTTTATTGCTATAAACACCCATACATAAATTTGTATAGATTTTTAACAAATTGTTTCATGAACATGGACAAAAATCCTTCAGTCGAATTATTAGAGATAACGATAATAAACCTAGAAAGTGATATAAATATGTAATAGCATAGTAGTAGAACATTTTTTTATAAATCTAAGAACGAATATGAAATAAACTGGTTTCGATAGTAGATACGCTCCAAGAGTGTTGACATCCTTCAAGTTTCTATTTATCCTTACAAACGGGCAATAAAATTCTTTTTGTTTAAAATAATTCGAGTTGAAATGACGCTAGGATCCTGAAACTAAAAGGTGTTATAAGGTCCAAAAATCCATGGTAGTCACCCTTTTGGCTCTTACAAGTTGTCTTGCTATCATATTACGACTTGTACATCTGTTTTCATGGTGTCGCCATTTCTGAGGACCCGGCCGGGTCAGTGTAGTAACTAACTTTTCTATATTGTCTCGGGGTTTTGGGTGTTTGTGGTACTGACGTTGTTTCAGATTTCCTTAACACAAGTGCTTTAGCTACTTAATTTGGGATCAGAACAACGTATGTGATGTTGTGTAATACTTAATTAATATTTGAAATAAATACTGTAAATGATATACAAATATTAATTTACAAAGAAGCAACCTGGAGACGTGCGAGAAATTGCTATTATGTATGCGAGAATAGCAGTATCTCGCGCATTATGTCGCTCACGCGCAAGTTACGCCGTGTCGTACTAGACATACTAGTTTCTTACTCATTCTTCTGAGGGAATCTGCTTTACGAATGAATAGTAGAATTTTAAGCAATGTGACGATTTCAAGTGTAATTCGCTTACTTATGAAATAAATATTATTTGAGTTAGAATTTAAACCAATTATTATTAGGCTGGCTTCATTCAGGGCCTATGCATCCCCTCATCACTACGACCATTGACTGATCTATTGTGATCACCACCAACTACAGCGCAGAGCCAAGGAAAGAAACTTAAATCACCTGGGTGCATTAGATAAACATAAAAGTAAACTGTATTCACTACGATATTTAAGGACGCCAGGATTCAGCTCGTTACGTGGTACAGATACGGTGATGAAAAATTTCGTGATGAAACCTGCATGTCAAAGAAGGTTCACAATCAATGACGTCCCCAACCCGCGTTTGACTAGTATGGCGAGGTATGGCCTAAACCCTTGCATGAGAGGAGACTGTACTCAGCAGTGGGCCGTATAAATAGGTTACAGTATGATGAGTGTTCTGAGTAATGCACCCAGGTGATTTAAGTTTACTAAAAGGGTACTTAATGCACCTAGGTGAACTAATTCAGGTGATTTAAATTAACGCACTCGACTTTCCTGGCTCCAACAGATTTAATGTCCTCTGGTTGTGGCATGTGGCATCCCAGTATGGACCTTCGTACGCCCATCAGGGTGAGTCAGCATTGGGTGAGTAGATGAACAGGAGTTTCATCCGTCTTGTGGCAGAATTTGTATTCTCTCTCTGCCCAATATTTGACATGTGCTTGTTTAAGCCACAATGCCCTGTTACGGCTCTAGTTAGCATTCTTATGCCATTCCTGTTCAATGACAAAGCTTCTCTACAGTGTTTGGCACTGTAGGCTGCACAAAAAAAATACTACTACGCAAAAACCAAACTTAAACATTTTAAAAAAACTTGTAGGAAAGTAGTCATCAAAACGCAAGAATAAGTCAACAAAAATGTTTTTATTATTACAAATATGCTGCACTTAGGAAAATATCCTAAAACATATGCTAGGGAAGGCCGCCTGCATTTTTAAAACATTACTACAGTAAAATGTTATGAGCACATTGTATTCTATTTCTACATAGAAACAGCGAAAATAAAAATTTCTTTTTCCCAATTTATAGGAAAAGGAAACTTAGAGATTTTAGATACGACCTAAAACCTATTGATATGTTATTAGTATTATAGTAAAATGTGATATCAAAATATAGGCTAATTTTAGTCACACCACGTCTTGTAAAGGTATAGGAACATACGCGAGTACCAGAATGGGGTCACTAGGCCCTAACTATAAACATGCAAACAATTTAACATTAATTATGGCACTGTGGCATCCACACGCACAAAAAATCATAGTCACTTTCAAACACACTGTCTAAAGGCATCAAAATTAAAACTACACAAGTAAATACAATCTTTTTCTCTATATGTCTATATCAACAGATGTATCAAAAAAACTTGCATTTAATATACAAACCAACAAAAATATATTAATTAAAAAATGACCAGAATCGTTTAATGTATCATCTAAATTATTATGAGAATATATTTTTGCACTAAAATTCTAAATTAGAAAACAAAAAAGACAACAGTTACGAAAATAAAAAGTAGGTATAAGTAATTATGATTAAAAATTAGAAATAAGAAACATTGAAAATAAGTAATTCGAAGAAAAGCAAAGAAAATGGAAATAATTTCTATCAAATCCTAATAAAAGTTTCAGAATTTGAATGAGGCATCGAAGTTGATATAGAAATACGAATTGATTGAAACAAAGATTAGAGTTTTGCAACCCAAAAGACTGATGACTATGATTTCTTATTTATAAACATTAAAAATAGTACGCTATAGTAACCACAGCCACAGTAGTTCTTACTATAAATTACGAATAAATAGAGGTTTCTTACACTGTTTTAGTTTAGGGATGCTCCAAATTTTACATTAGTTCATAATTTGAAGTAACGTCCATCACTTTTATGTTTATAAAAATTAAAAATATTTTCTCAGCGACTCTTAAGATATTAAATAGACTATAGATTCATACTGAAAATGTTTCGAAGTCCTTGGACTTGAAGCTATTTGTAGTATGTAAGTACTTAGAGTAAATCATTAAAAAAAAGATAAGATAAGAGCAACCAGCTCTCATACCCAAAACCACCGAAGAGTTTTTTTGAATTTTAACATCGGAGTTATAATAAAAATACCTAATTACAACACCAAAAATATTATAAAATTATACCGCACCTTATACTAAGCCTACAAATAAAACTACACAATAAAATATAAAGGGTATTTGGAATTTTCCTCCTTAAATAAAAGGAGAATAACACACTTGTACAATGACATACACTCTAAAATGATCACGATTTGTTAAACATTTGTCTTAAGTCACTTCGTATGTTAAGGCACAAATATAATTAATGTACAATTAACTAAACCTAACGATTACAATGTGAAAAGTCACTCATCTCGTACATTGACAGTCAATGTATGCACTACCTTATTTAAAATCGAGTCTTATATTTATGCACCACTTTTAAAATGAAGTTAGGTACATTCTAAGTAATAATTTTCTGCTACAACTAAAGTACATTTTGGCTTCAGGTCGTTTATTAGGTCGGGTGTGGGACTTTAACAAAACTGCTCAATTTTTTACATCTCGAATCTTTGTACTTTTTCTAAACCTATATAGTATAAATGCATTATTTCGACTTCGGCGGAGTCTTCCGCGATATTTTTCCTTAGCAGTTTTGTCAAAGATTGCAGGGAATGTTTTTATTTTGTAAGAGTGATATTATAATTCGAGACATTGTCCAGATCATGGTTTATTACCTATAATACACAATTCACGCAAATTTATTTCACAAGTACATTATATAAACATTTTGAATTATGTAAAATTATTTGATTATCTCGAGATTCTATACTTAAAAGTGGAAGCAAAATGTTCCCACACTGACAGTAATTTTCATATTTGTTTTACTTATCGAAAGCAGTTTATAAAAATATACTATTGTATGTAATATGCTGCTAACTACATCATCTATAGGTATTTGTACGTATTCACCTCTATGATCTAACTAATCAACTCTTCAGTTTTTTTATATACTATTCGCCTTTATCAATAAAGAATAAATACGATTGTTAAAACTGCTCTCAAAGTGCTAAATAACTATTTATATTGAGAATTTAGCACCAGTCTATTTCAAACCGAATAGTCGGGTAGTAGGTACCTAGTGTCTTGTACATGAACTAGTCCATATGTCTGGTAGACGGTATTCAGACTTTTTGGTTAGAGTTCAGTTTGTTGCGCGACTTCTCCCACCGACTGATGCAGGGTATAGGGTAGCACATTACAGCAGAGAGGAGAAGGAATGCGCCAGAAACGTAGAAGGATATGTCGTAACTACCAGTAAAGTCTTTTAGGGCACCTGAAAGAAAACGTATAATACTTGAGTAGGTAGGTATAATTGTGTAGAGATTTTTTTTATTTTTTATAAAAATGTAAGTGCGCATTTGACTTCCATCACACCTGATGGAAAGTGATTATGAGGTCGAGGAAGGAGCATGCACACCTAAATAATGCCTATTCACTCTCGCCTTGAAAAGGTCCAAGTTCAGGAAATAAGTCTGCGGGCAGGAAATTCCACCCCATAGCCGTTCGCCAAATAAATGTGGAAGCGTAACGCTTCGTGCGAATCTTTGGTCGTTATCGTTATGTTTAGAAAGTAAATTAATTTATTTATAATAATAACAATAATGAGCCAGACAACCACACCAATTGCCGGTCATAAACTAGAGAATTCCCTGTACTACCCAACCAGATCAACGGAATTCATTCTGGGGCACTTCCGTAGAACACCCAGACCTGAAGAAAATTCAGAAAACTTGTTTTTCCACATTGGTCCAGGAATCGAACTCGGGATCTCCTCATCCAGTGCAGTAGTAGTGCAGTATAAACCGTTGGGCCACCGAGGTCGTCTATTTATAACTATACAAACAACGTATTTGCAGTGATGTAGGTACATAGGTCATTGTTCACTACGTGCGGACACATACCTACTCGTATTTGGCGCGGCGCCATCTCTAGGCAAGGTATAGAAATATCCTGGCGCCGAAGATTATGCATGAATGTGTTAATTAGTAATAGTTAACGAGGACTCCTACTGATAAAACCAACGACGTTGCTTATTACTTACTTAATTGGAATCCAGTAGTGAACTAAGTACAGTAAGGCATTTGTAATATTTTTGTAGAGTAAGTAACCTGTACCTTAAGCGTTAGAACTAACTGAATATATGAGAATGTAAACGTAGAAGGACTGGTTGGAGTAGTAAGAAGACCTATTTGTAACTTCCACTTTGTATTATAACTTACCGGCAATGGGAGCGCCTAGAAGTGCACCAACACCTTGGAACAGTAGGAACAGTCCAAAGCAATTGGTCAGTTGCTCCAAACCCAAGTACTCCACCACCAAGATTGACCGTAGAGACGCGAAACAGGCTGTATAAAAAAAATCATTTCAACAACTAATTTCAACGACATAGATAAATTCTATCATACTGACAAGTCTACTTACCGACAGCAAGCCCAAAGATAGTGCAATATCCAAACTGGAAAACTTCGTTGTAGCAAATACCGCTGACCATAGTTGCGATTCCTCCAGCAGTTATAGCGATATTATTAAGCCACAATGGTGACACTTGCGGCATCGATGACAGTACACCACAAGCAATACGTCCAACAATATTAGCAATTCCAATAGCAGAAACCAGGAAAACTGCAGTGTCCTTATCCATTCCGTTGATTTGTGCCCGTTCTGTTAGATACATGTACGGCACGAAGAAGCCTAACATCGTAAAGAATCCGCTGATCGCTAGAATGTTAAATGTCGGAGATTTGAAAAGGCTTACATCCAACATAGTTGCTAGAATTCTTCTCACGGCTTCGGGGCAAAGTTTGCATCTTCCTGATCGTTCCTCTTGTGCATCTTCCTGAGTCGGTACATGTGTAACAGCTAAGTGGTAACCTAAGGACGTTCGAGACGTGTATTGAGGCAGACGCGTTAAGCTAGCACCGAAGAAGATATCGTCACGGTATAGTGGGCGAGCTAAATCAGCTTGCGATCTACCAGACCTTGCCTCTCTAGCTACCATTTTAATTCCAGGCACAATCAAGGGTTCCATATTATCGACTTGACTGTTGGAATCTTCTTGTTCATCTTTTTCAGCCACAGGCACTGCGATGAATAGTGGTTTGTTTCCAAGGGGCTTCATAGTGCCTGCAGTAGCCGATGATCTTCTGCTAAGATGTGAATTGCTTCCACGGAAGACTTCTTCAGCAGTCGGATAGCGTGTGTTGTTGGCGACTCCCATCCAGGTGTGAGGACTTACTTTGTTTGTAAATCTCATTTCTGGTGGCATGGAGATACCGGAGTCAAGTTTGTTCTGCAGCTTTAGCATGGAGTTTAGTTTTTCAACTGCTTCCTCATGACGCTTGGCAGCGTTATCTTCCGATTGATCCGCTAAGGTCACGCGTACTGGTTTGATCGGTCTGAAGAGTGCTCCAAAGAGTGCGCAAATCAGCGACAGACCTGGGAAGGAAAGTGTTTATTACATTTGCATTCAGACAGCTGATGTTATACCTACTTTGAGTAGCGAAAGATTATCAATAGGTGACAAACCTGCAGTAACGAGCATAGTGCCTCTCCATTCAATACTCTCGTTAAGCCTCTCAGTGATAGGTGCCATGGCAAAGGTTCCTACTCCGGATCCGCAGAGAGCCAGTCCAGTAGCCAACGCGCGCCATTTCTCAAAGTAGAAGCCCACGGTCAGCACAGCCGGCATATAGATCATGCCGAAACCGATACCTTGCAGAAAAATAAAAACCAAAGTAATTTCGACGTAATTGTAATACCCAATTTTCAAACTCTCTGGATCACCATCATTATACAGTATTATACCATTGATTTAATCGTACTAATAGCACCGGTTTTAAAAGTTCAGTGCTTTCTAAAAAATGGAACTTTTTGCCTCTTCTCGCTTTTATACACCGTGAAATTTTAATTGCCCGAAAACTAATAGACTTATTCAGACTTTGTTTTATAATTACATTTTGGTGCATGAAAAAAAATGTACAGTCATTATAAAAACGTCCTTGAAATATCCTCCATATCCATCTATCTATGCCTTTAGCTATAAGTTATAGCAAAAGACATCGTAAAGTTTTTATGTAAATTTGTGAAGGAAATAGTCTACATAAATTCGCGTTAAAAATCTGAGTGGACAACAACTTTATATCCCTTCAGGCAATCATTAGCCAATTGCTAATATTATTGAGAATAAAATTGTTTGAACTCAAATGTGCGAGACGGCAGAACTGGTGGACAATTTCCGTAAATGGTGTAGTTACATGTTTGATGAATAATAATTAGTGTAATAAAATAACTTTTTGTGTGAAAGTCATGTTTGTCGGCTGTCGCTAGCTACTTTACGTGTTTTTATAACCACAAATTTTAATTATCAGAAATTTTAATTTACTCAAGTAATTAAAATTTCGTAGTAAATGTAAATACGTCGGTCAACGAGATAGTGGGCATTTGTAAAGGTGCAAATATTAATTTGTAGCTTAGTTTGCCTGTGCCTTGTACTTGAACTTGACTTGTACTACTGTGTACGATAGCTAGAGAAATAAAGATATACAATATGCGTATGCTAGCACAAGTACATAGTTAAGATTAGATTTACTCAAAAACCTACCTCCAATGATTCCATATACCAGATACAGGTATTCAACGCTTGTTGCGAAGTAAGACACAGCGAAAGCAGCAGCTGATATAAAACTGCCCATGATGGTCACTACTCTGAATCCATACCTGAAGAAAAAATTATTAGAAATTATTAGAATTATTAGAGAAGGACTTAGTGGCCATACTCGAAGGTGAAGAGCGTAGATATCGAAACTAGCAAACATATATATTACATGAACGACAAACTCAAAGAAATATTCCTTCCATCTCCATTCCATCACGCTTGCTGCAGATTTTTGTGTTTAGTTTTAATTTTGTCGTAATGCCATCTGAGAGAAAACTTTGAAAATTTTTCTTCACTCAGGTAGGTACTTAACAGGTTCCAGTGGCTGACAAGAGATGTCGCTTTATTAAATGATAATAAATGTCGACTCTATACGAAATTTTCTAAAAAAAATTGTTCGTTTTGAAATACAGAATAGGCTTTAGAGTTTTAGCGTCGATTTCTTAGACACCCCGTATACTTACTTGTTCGCTAAAGCGGAAACGAAGGGGCCACAGAGAAGGTAGGAACCAGCCAGCAATGAATTGATGGGCGCCACATGGCCACTGGTTGTCTGCAACAAATTATAATTACAATTAGTTATGTATACCCACATAGCTATAAATTTCATCGCGCTCACGCCGCGCGGAGGCCGCGTGGCCGCCGCGCAGCGAGCGCTTGCATCTAATTGTCGTGGCTAAATAAGCTATATTTATTTAGATTTTTCGTTTTAACTTAAATGAGCCTCCCGGGCGCTCGGGCGGCGACCGTGCTGTTATATTATTCCGAGGAATTTAAATATTGCTACCTAGTAAACAGAATTCAGATTCGTCATCAATGTACGTGAAAGCGTGGTAACTGGGCGGTCGTCACACGGCGGCCGCGCTTGTATCTGGGCGCTTATACTAGTTGCTAGTCAAACAATCCTAATGTGAAATGCATAATTTGTTACGTAGTCGTGAAATTTTCATATTTCTACCTAATCGATTTGTAACCAAGTTATTAATATTAGTTACTCTATACCTAAATTGCAATTATGTGGTACATAGCTACGGTAATTATGATTTATGAAATGTAACCTATGTGATAAAAGAAACTAACAACCATAAAATTTTTATCGTAATGTTCCTTAGTAATAAAAAGAATTTTAACACTGATTTACAACTGCTGTGTACGAAACGTGAAGTCCAAAAAAATTGTTGTCATTTTCTTTTAACATATAACATTTAGGTCTCATTTTATAAATTACAATTATTGTGAGTACGATAAATCGAAACATGTTTTTTCCTTTACGACAAAACGAACCTGCGAATCAATGAATGAATTTCAGCCTAAAGACGTCCACTGCAGAACGTGTATTATTTTATATAAATGATAATAATTCAAATTACAGACTTGATATTGTCGGACGATACAACGGACTGTTATTGTTATAATTAGGTCTGCTTCTGATCGTAATTTACTTTATGTATTTTATTTCTTTTATTGCACGAAAGACGCTAGGTGGTTAATAAATAAATAATTACTCAACTCGTAATACGCACATTGTCTGGAAATATTTTGTTTTAACGTGCGTTAAAACAAATTGTCACATGTTATTGAGCAGTAAGTAAGTAATATTACTTTACTACAATTAAAACACGTTACATGTTTGGAGCATTCTCTTTATCGCGTGTCTGAGCAAATACAGCTGGAAAATAGTGACGTAGATATTTCAGTCTAAAATGGTAGAATTTTTTTAAAATACAGTTACCGCTGGCTGCGCAATAGTAATCACAATGTCAAACCGGTGGAAGCAGTATTTTGCTACGCATTACTTTGATGTAATAAAAGGTGTTTCGTGATATTTACAAAAAGTTTGTAAACATTCTTCCACGATCGATGCACAGCTGGTGTAGACTAAAGTCGCAATACCATCAGATGATTCAGATAAAAAGGTATAGACCGCCAATTATATTTTAATTTGAGAAATGGCAATATTTATTTACTCTTTCTGAATTTATGTAAAATAATAAAAGTGTACTGAAATCCATGCAAATATAAATTTCAAACTCAAAAATGTAAATAATTCACGCAAATCTCACGAAACCTCAGGTCGATTTTGTTAAAAAGGGATGTTTTAATATTAAGTTTATTGGATATCACGGTGTTTTGCTACCATAATATTCAATTATGTTTTGTGAAATTACTTAATAATTATTAATACAAAGATAGGATACTAAGAAAAAATTCCTTCGATTCGGCTGGATTCGAACCAGCGCCTTCAACATACCGTGGCTGACGTTCTACCGCCTGAGCCACGGAATGACCAGCAGACCTTACGAAATTTTCTATTTGCTTGTTGCAGCTCTTTGTTTTTGGTTTTAACGACTTTTTGCGCGCCATCTATGAGAAATATAAGAAAGATTTTATTCACACAGCCAGGTTTTATTTTATTCACATTTATTCAGGTTTAGATTTTATTCACTCTTTCCAGCTACCAGCGGGTGATTAGAGATGTCATTTTAATAATTGTAACATTATGTTTACTGAATATCACCACAGATTACAGAATATAATATCACGATGTTTTATTACCATGATATACAATTATATTTTTGTGAAATAAATCCGTTGTTTGTTATAATTATTAATACAAACATCGCTGAAGTCATTGATTTGAATCCAGCCTGATCGAAGGAATTGTTTGTGTTCGATCTTTATATTAATAATTAAGGAATATTGAAATTATGACGGCACATTGAAAGTACAAAAATTATGTCTGCTACCACTGCAAATCAAGGTTTTTTTGCAACTAGGAAGCGCTTTTACTTCCCGGGGCAGGCCTTGATAATGACATATTACTAAGTTACATGACGTCAAACAAAAGTTTGACCATCACCAGTTTCAATAAATATTGTAATTATCGTATTCATTAGCTTTTACGTGCTTAAATGCGTGCTTAAATTGTTTAACGTGCGTTAAAACAAATTGTCACATGTTATTGAGCAGAGATTAAAAATAACTAATTATTTTATATTATATTTTATTACTTTATAAAACCAGAATCGATTTTGAGATGGAAATTATCACTAAGTAGATTTTATCATCTATTACTTGATAGTAACTTGGATCAGAGTATCAAAAAGTTGTAAACCAAGTTGACTAAATTTTTCGTGCTAATTTCTTAAGATATAGAACACGAGTTTTTTTGTATTGACGAGATTTTGGAACCTCTACAATTAAATAAAAAATAACTCAGGGCAAATAGCAAACTGGCAATACCAGATTAGTTGAGTCGGAAACGACTAGCTTATGACATATAAACAAGTGTAAATAGTGGCGATACAATGTTGTCCGATTGGTAGTGTTTACAGTATTACCTACTGTGACCGTTACCATCTTCGTTCCTTTGTTTGAAGGGACCGTCGTATAACACTTGATAGCTTTTCTTAGTTATTTAAATTAACTTTGTTTATATAATGTAGAGATCGCATACCGGTGTCTGTATCTTGCTGCCAGCCAAGCTGCTAGCACCTGCCAGTTCACAATTTATATTTAACATCCTAATAATGACGAACAAGTTGTAAACCTGGTGGTAAGCGACACTCCTGTCCATGGCAGTTGTTGTACCTACACTGTTTAGAGCTTTAAATCGCAAAGATCAGAGAGGTACTGCCACTGCGCCCGTCACCCTGAAACTGTAATTTTACTAGCACCGCTAGTTACCCTTCAAAACCGGGAGGCAGTATTTTTTTTATAATATCACATGTCGGGACGAATAAGTCGTGCGCCTCATGGTAAGCTACACGCCACCACGCACGCTTATGTCACCCTGAGACATAAGTTGACAAGTCTCATGTGCC